CTTAAAAATGTAGATTCATCAATTGTAACAAATGTCGCACTCTGGTGGGGAATGTTGATAATGAAGGAGGCTATGCATGTGTGGGGACAAGGCATATATGGGAAATCTCTGTACCTTTCTCTCAGTTTCATTGTGAAGCTAAAACTCTAAGAAAATCAAGTTTATTTTTTTTAATGGCTAAGAAGATGAAACAATAGTACAGTAATGATTACAGTTCATGGCTCTGCTGTAACAGCTTGTGGTTGATAGAGAAACGTAATACAGTGTTTGTTAACTCTGGGCCATACTCAGTGTTAAATACGTTTGTCATCTGCTGCTCATAGTTGCCCACAAAACTATTCCCTTTTACAGAATTTCTTGGGGTGTCAATGTGCCTAGTGCCAGCAAATAAACTGTGAATGATCTAAGCCAAGCGTTGGCAATTATGGCCCATATCTGACTTGCAACCTGTTTTTGTAAAGCCCATGAGCTAAGAAGGACTTTTATACCTGATTAAATGGCCGGGAAGGAGGAGAAAGAAGAGAAAAGGAAAAATATGCAATAGAGACCATAGGCGGCCCACAAAGCCTAAAATATTTACTCTTTTGCCGCTTACAGAAAAAGTTTTCCCAGCCCTAATCTAAGCCAATGACTGTCATGAACACACATGCTATTTCTAGATGAAAAGATGCAAGGGGGAGTCTGCCTGGGAATGGGGTGTTTCTATTTTGGGGTAGGGAAAATAGGCAGGTCCCTGGGCTCCACACCGGGGGGAGTGTGGGGGGTGCTGCACCTTATTTCTCTTGTATGAACATCATTAAAATTCCATTTAGAAAATTCCACTATCATCCCAAGATGGAGCAGTTTCATTCTTACATAAGGGTAGGTGTCACCATCTTCATTTAAGGACAAGGAATCTACAGTTCAAAGACTATGAGACAGTGAAGAGAAGATCTCATATGCTCTGGGGACAAACAGTACATTGGAACCCTCCTCTGAATACAAAAAGCATGGAGACTTTGAAAAAATCAGGGACAGAGAACTCAGATGACGATACTACCATCACTGATTTAGACCAGGGGCTTCCCACCAGCCTTCCCACACAGGTGGTTACTAACAAGAGTTGCCCGCGTAGGCTGCGGATGGGTCTCCAACAGTTTGAGTGTTCTCCTGGAGGTAATAGCTCTTCTCTGGCTGTGTCAGAAACTATTGAACTGCTTTATAATTTGCTTTTTGATGCATTTTACTCCATACCATCAGCAACATCACATTTCCCATAGTTCTTGTGAAGCATTTGGTGATGGGAAGTGTTAGTGGATGTCAGCGGCCCAAACTCAAGAAGGGGAAAGTTCAAATACAGGGTGTTGATACAATTGCCTTAGCAGTTCACATAAGGTTAAGCACCATGGCATGGCGTGAGCCAAGTCCTATTAGTTCACTGCATCCCCTTTACACAAGTCCCGTCAATAACTGAGTTCCCAAAGACTAGAACTAAGAAGTTGTATAGAATTAATGATACCAACTGCGAGCTATCTCCCACTGCTTCAGCCCACATGGCCTGTGCTCTAGCCACACCAGAC